TGACCTCTTCCAGTGTGCTGAAGGCGTATTTATTACAACCGTGAATAAAACCGTTCGGTGCTTCTTGGGCAATTCTTAAAAAACACTCAATCACTAAAAGGTTTTTCGCTTTAACTGATAGTACTCGCATATAAGCAATGCACTGAAGTTTATTATTGTTTGTTGTTAAATAGTGCGATTCCCAACGGCTATTATAAACTCAATGTTCGTTACTTGTATTTTCTGCGAAGACATATTTCACTTAAAAAATCTTAAATTGAGTTGCTGCGTACCGCACACCAGAACAAAATATCTACATTTATAAACAAATATTTGACCGGTACAAAAAATAAGAGCAGCAATGGATTAACAACACATTTAAAAAAACATGTAACATACTTTTCAATTTCACCTGAATCACTTATTTTTTACCTATAGAGGTTAGATCTGAAAAAAATTGGCTCTGGTAAAAAAAACAAAAAATTGTATAAAGTATTTTATTTGAAAAATTATAAAACTTATTTAATTTATTTTAAAGTCGAGGATAACTCTAGCCATATCCATTTTACTGAAAAAAAAAAGAATCTATCAAATGAAATCATTTAGTTATTAAGAGATGTTTGTGATAATACAGTGACAGCTATCGAATGTTGTACAATACGTTTTGCTAATGTCCAAGTAAAAACTACAAAGAGTTAGCATTAGTGGGAGAAGGAATAGAATACTATGAACGTAGCCAGTCGGCTACGTGTGGATGCATCGCCCCGTGTGCCTGTTCATATTACACAGCACACAAGGCAACATTCATATTATTCGTTTCCTGATAGCACTAATGCACTAACTCTTTAGTTTTCTCTTCGATGCTAGCCAAGCGTATTGGAAAGTGTTCATTAGCCGATACTGTATATAAATGCTAAAATCAATAAGTGAAATAAAAAATTTTAGTTTAAATGGACACCTACTTCGAAAAAGGAGAAAAACTGAAACAGTAAATTATTATACTTGAATTTTAAAGGCTGTTGCCACTGGAAAACTATTATCTAGAGCTTGGATGACAGCCATAGGACTCCCTCCTTGAATCGTGTCCATAGGAAAGCATAAGATCTTAGTTAAATTATAATATTAAGAGGGTAGGTATTAACTGAAAAAATATGAAAAATTATTACAAACTTACTTCACAATTGGCACCTACATTAAAAGAAGGGAAAACGGAAACATAAAATTGTTATACTTGAATTTTAAAGGCTTTTCCCACTGGAAAAGTATTATCTAGGGCGGAGACTCTTGAATGACAGCCATAGCAATCCCTCTTTGATTCCTCTTTTTCTGAGTTTGTTCCCATATTAAATAAGTAAGCACTTAATACAACAACACAAATCACAATAAATATCGCTGAAACAAAATTAATATTAATAATTTCGTAGAAGAAAAAAATCAAAAAATTATCACTTGTCAATACTGACACTTCATGCTTCGCTTGTCAAAAATTTCCTCTTCAACCAATGAACGTGCCGATGTTGGACGTGTCAAAATTCAAAACGATACTAGCGCCATGAGACCTGTGTCTGGCCGCAGCGTAACTCAAAGCCATTTCTTGAATCCCAGTAACATTACTATATAGGGGATATCTTGGGTCCTATGATTGAACGTTTACGTTATTCGTAACGTACATGTTAGACCGAATTTTAAAAGTAACGAGGCAAGTTCTTATGATGGAAACCTGTTAAATTAGAACATAATAGGCGGACAATAACAGTAATGTGTTGGAAAAAGTTTTCCATAGTACGAACTGCCTTGTTACTGTTAAAACTCGGCCTAACATGTACGTTACGAATAACGTAAACGTTCAATCATAGGACCCATTGTGTTACAACCTTTTATCCATCGCCAGTTTTATTTTATTTCATCGTTGATGTAGGAATGACTCGCTTGCGTATATTATCGTCTTTTAGGCACATTTCTATATTTTTTTCTGATGGTAAAAATGTCTTAGCGGGCCACATGTTGCGTTAACTTTATATTAACTTCATTAATTGAAAAGACTGACTTAGATAGTTTTATAAAATTAAATAAAGCAAACATACACCTCTTAAAAAGTTCGTATTTTATCATCTCATCGCAGCAGGGCACCGTCGTAAAAAAAATCAAAAGGTTTCACTTTATCTGATTCTAGTGTGAAATGGCTTTAATCTACCATCTGGTTCTTTCTCAGTCGGAAAAACCCTTTTCAGCAAACTGTGACATTTGATGGGGTCGGGAAGTCAGTTGCGGCGGATTTTGTATTTGATTAAGTCCGTTCTCTGTCGTCCCGTCCTCATTTAATGTTTCTTTCTACAAGAAATTGCTTCGAGCGACCGTAAATTGTCTATTAACTGCTTTACCAAAACACAAAACTAGAAGCACTTACTAATATTTCTAAAGATTTCTGCAATCTTTGTTACTAGTGTTTATTGCTGCAAATCTTCAAAATATGTATAAATTACGAAAATAACTGCTAGGATTATGTATTTGTACAAGCAGGAAAAAAAATTGTAACATCCAAGTTTTGCAAGTGAACAAAATAATGTACTCAATGTTTGCGGCATTAGCATGCATTTGAATGAAATAAATAGAAAGTTATGCATCTCACATGAGTTTTTAAATGCAATTAAAACAAAAATAAAAAAGTAGTTTTGGAATTCATTCTGTAGTAGGATAGATATATGTTGAAAATACCTTATTATTGCTACTAATAACTCTAATTTAGATTTTTTTGGCAAATACGGAGTCAAAAATTAAATAACTTCATAACGTGAAATACGTATTAAAACAAATTCTAAATAAATTTGAAATTCTTTTTGATTTTATAGGGTTTAAAATTGTACCATGTTTTTTTAAAGTTCTACAACTGAAAAAAAAAACAAATATGACTTATTTATATTCCTAGTTAAAAATGTTAAAAAATTACAAGAAAGCGTTATATGATACTAAAAAATGAAAAAGTTCCAATTTAGTTTTCTAGAATTTGCGAGCCTAGGTTATTTCCGGGGGGTAACTTAGAGTAGATTTGAAAGGAGTTCGACATTATCTGTCCTTGTCCATCGCGACCATTTCAGATCTATTGTAAGAATCCGTTATCTAGGATATTTCGTCTAACTTGGCGTTTCTATTAGACAGTAACTCCCGCATGTAGTTCCATGCATGTAGGCATTTCTAGAATATTATCCTTTTTTAGTTGCTAGTATGGTCAGCATTATGTAGTTGCGTTATTGGGTTTTTACCCTGCATTAGCCTATGAATAACGAATAACGGACCTGATTTCTCCTTGTATGAAGATGTGCAGTGGCGTGAGGTTTAGTAGTACTTCCATTGCTGCAGTTGCTGTAACACCGGGCTCCAGTGGCATTCAGACAGGCGTGCCGTTGAATGCCGGTGAGTTGGCCTATTGCTCTTACCTGTACAGTTAGGTATATATAGGTTATCATGAGTCTTATCACCCTTGTGTATAACCATATGGTCAGTTTTTCCCACATATTCTTCTACATCTTACGAGAGCTATTTTAGCTTTATATGCGAATTTTTTGAGATGTTGATTGCAAGTCAGCCTTTGCTCGAATATGACTCAGAGGTATTTGGCTTTTGTGACAAATGAAATAACCATGTTGTTTAGTACTAGTGGCCTTAGTCCTGTAAGTACCCGTTTTTTGTGAATGGTACAACTGTTGTTTTTATGCGTTAATGGACCATTGCTCCTTTTTGCACGAGTTGTTCACTATGTTTAGAGCTGTTTGACATCGCTCCTAGATTGTGCCTTCATCATCCCCTGACGATGATAGCTGTAGGTCGTTTGCTTTAGACAATATTTTGAGTAGGTCCTCCACTACAACTGACCACAGTATTGGAGATAGCGTTCCTTCTTGTTGACAGCCCCGTGTAACTTTTGCTTATATAGTTGCTTTTCCTAGAGAAGATAAAATGAGCCTATTCTCTAGGCTGGCAGTGATCCATTGGCATATGACCTGGTTGAAGTATTATTGAAAGAATTCCAAGACGGATACTAAATATTTTCGACCACAAAAAAAACGGACCAAAAACTCTACCTCTAAAGCAATGAAATGAGCTTATTTAATTATTCATATCTGCCATTGCCAAGTTGTATACCTCATATCTCAAAAACTGGTAATAGGTAATAGCGAGTTGATATATACTTTTACTCTTTATTAGTAAACCCAAAATAAAGGTAATGTAGAAAAATTACGCATTTTAAGCGATGCGATATTAAAATATAAGACAAGACAGATAAAAGCAATTTTATCAATTAATGATATTAATTTGGAACAACGACGAACAACTACTAGACTAATTTTGTTTACAAAAATCGAATTACAAGCATTCACAGTAGATAGTATGGGAGAGTCCTGTTACAAAGGATTGTTAATGGTTATAAATTCGGAATTGACTTAACATAAGGCTGTAAAACGCATAAAAGACTTTCAAAATTACGGTAAGCACATATATTTGCATTCTTAATGCTAGTTGTTATCAGTTTAATGTATTTTTCTCGTTTCAACTTTCATAGTTGAAGGTGATTTTCAAAAAAGTACGCAATTTATTTTGAAGTGTGACAGTAGTGTAAAGCAAGTATTGTAGTCGTAAATACTCATATATTCATAAATCGCGTGCTAGCACCTCAGATAAACAAACTCGCACAAACCATCCCCTCTCAATTAAGCATCGGTCTCGGTTGTTCTAATACATAATATAAAACACAATCTAAATACTTGCAATAAATAAGGGCTTAAGTATGAATGAATAGATTAATCTAGTAGTTTTTTGTCGTTGAGTTGGAGAATAATATCCCAATCTTGAAGTAAAAATTAAAATTCCTTTCTCTATAACAGCGACTTATCTTTTAACTAATAATAATTTACATCAAAGGTTATACTTAAAAGATTCTGGAAGGACTTATATTTGTCCTTCCATATCCTATCATCATATCATCAAAACTCCAAAACCAAAATAATCTATTTCTTGTCTTTTAG